TGGACGTGGCAGTTCAGTGGGCAGGATCTCCCTCTGGAGGCCCCGGGAGGCACCTGCCTCTCTCCGGGATGCACGAAGATGCCTCAGACACTGGGGGCTCTTTTCCCTGCTGAGGATTCAGCAGCAAGGGAGGTACCACAAGGCCAAGGCCACACACAACGCAGGTGTAGTTATTACAAGTTACCCTAAAGCTTGTCCATGTCTAGGCATCCACAGCCCGCGTTTCTTCGTTGTTGTTGTTGGCCTCAGAGGCCAGCAAGGAGGTGTGACCCCTCCCAGGCCAGCAGAAGGTGCTCCACGGGGCAGAGAAACAACTGCTCCCCTTCCCTGCTGCAGCACCAGGCACGCTGCCTGTCTGCACACCCAACAGACCTGGAGACCTGCACACTTGCACCCCAGTGCATCTCACCTAATTATCACCAAATTATCTCACGCCTCAAAACCAGTGAAGACCTGAATGACAACCTAGGACAAGCAGCCACCCTGTCAGCATCAAGGCTCTCCCTCCTGAGTTGTGGGCTGCAAGATGCTTTTGAAGAACTAGGGCCATCTTGCCCTACGTATGGAAATCCTTCCTACCAACCTTCAGTCCACACAATTCCTTGCAACAGCTCTTACCTCCCTGGAAAAAGGGAACCACTGCTAAGTGGGAGAGCCAAGTTGGTCGGAATTTTGTGTGTGCAACAAATTTTCAGAGCAGAAACAACCTTTACAATGACTAAAGCAACCACGTCTGGATGAGTAATAACCACAAAGTGATGCTGTGCATGTTGCAGTTGGTAAGAGGGCTAAGTCACACCTGGTAAACACTGTGCAGCACAGAACAGTGAAATGACAGACAGTAAGTTAGGATATCTAAATACAGAACACTCCAGCAATGTGACATGTCAGCACAGCTTCTGAAGGTCAGAACTTCTCCTAAAGGAAACTCCAGGAGACAGGTTATTCAGAAGTGCCAGGACCAGAGCTTTTCTGAAGCTGCTGAACTAGCAGCTATAGGGTAAGTCATGTAGCTTCTAACTTAAACCAACTGCACGACCAGGAGAGTGGTAAGTATGAGTGGGACACCAGTGCCAAAATGACACTCTCTCAGCATGTGTTCCAATCATCTGGAGATGGAGGAGGTGAACACTGTTTTGATACACCTTGACACTGTGAAATGTTACAGCACACCTCATAGCAGTGGAACACTGAAAAGGCAGGTTAAATGAACAAATGAAAAACACTGGATGTGCAATAAAAGATCCTCCTTGTACCTCTCATCAGCCCTGGTGGCACTCGGGCCAGGAAGAAGCCAGAGGCTGCCAGGATGGGATTCAGAGACCTGGAGGTGAGTGGAGGAGCCAAAGGTGAGCAGATACCCCTGCAGAGCAGGCAGGGAGGCCAGCTGCAGGCTTTGGGCAGGGGCACCAGCTGCCACCCTCTCCCCTTACAGCAGATAACTCTGTCAACCTGTTTCTGCCAGCAGCCAACAGCAGCAAGCACAGGACCAAGCAGCCCCCCAGAGAACCTCCTCCCTGCCACCTGGATTGGTCCAAGTTCAAGCAAAGAACTCAGCAGAGCACATGGAGGGAGTGTTTCTAAAGCCACACTTCACAATCTCACCTTTGGATGTTCCTTTTTCTCTGCCCTTGCTGCAGCTGCTCACTGTCCATGCACAAGGACCAACTCTGAAGTTTGGTTGCACAGATCCCAAAGCTGGATGAATACAATGGAGCTCTCAAGTATGTGAGACATTTTTGCAAGCTAAAGACACCAAGAGACCATTGGTGAAGTCCAAAGCTGAGCTTATCCAAACACTGGGAACTGGGAGGGACCACTTCAAACGGGGGCTGGTCAGGGTCTTCCTTCTGAGCATGGCTATGGAGTTGTGGCACCACAGGAACCAGCTCTGGCTGCTGCTGCCAGCACCACATGGAACAGGCTTCACATTTTCACATCAGTTTCCATGCCTGTAACCACCCTGTGAATTCCAGCAGTAACCAACGTGCTTCCCTGGAGTGACTGATTAGACTATTTGTTTGATAAGCTTATTTTAATTCTTTGCTGTACAAAGGCAGAAATGCAAACCACCTCAATGAATCTGCATCAGTAACTACACAGGCATGATACACATATTTACAAATAGCTCAATTATTAATGTCAGTGTTGACACCTTAGCTCATGCAGAGCTGGATGCAGACAGTGCAAACAGCATCTCCACAGCAAGGCACAACTCTCATCATACACACAACTTGCTCCTCAAAGTGAGAGCTCCTGATAAACCAGTTCTTTGTTGCATTTGTATCTGACAATGCTGCTTAGTGGTAGCCCAGCCTCAGAACTACAAAGTGCATTTCTTTATTATATACATTCTCAAAAGGGCTGTGGATGGTTCCAGAAATAGTTTTCCATCCTGTTTGCACTGGGACAGAATCCCAGGCTGGCTAAGAGGGGTGTCCCACCTCACACACCCTGCTCATCACAGAAGGGGAGCTGTGCTGAGCATGGGGAGCTCTGATCCCTGGGCTCCTCCCTCTTGGTCTGCTGCTCCCAAGGACTAGGCTGAGTAGAACCTTATGTGCTCTCTGTTGGTGTTCATATTATTTTGTTATTCCATTCAATCCATTTACATTTCAATCCACAGGGCTTCTCTCTTCCTCATTCTCCTCCTCATCTTGGAAGGGGTCATCAGGTGAGAGAGCAAACAGCTTCAGTTTAGCTCCAGATACGGGCTAAATGAAGACACTCTCAGACCTTCATTTTCAGAAGTAATTAATTGACTGTGTTTTCCATCAATTAAAATTATTTCATAAGCTAAAAATACCATTAACCCAAAGCTCTGTAGTTCACATGCAATTATGAATACAAAGCTCCTAACAGCAACTCTAGGAACTGTCATCTTCTGCCTTGGAAAGATAAGAAATCTTTGAAAACACTCAACCAACTCACTGATGTTTCAAGTGTAAAACAACACTTTGGAACATTCCATGTTAGCAAGTTCGCAGATCCAAGTGGCTTTGGAAAAGCTCTGTAGCACAGATATTTACATTCTGTATCTGACTCCTGAGCTGGAACTCATCTGCCATCTCAGGTGGTTTGCTGCTTCTCTTTCCCCAGAGATCTCCCTTGGAAAGGAAAGGAAAAACCAGGAGCACAGTTACTGTCACAGTAGGAACAGGATTCTGGGACATTCACAAGCAAGACACACTCCAAATCCAGCCCAGGACTAAAAAGCCACTTCTCCCCCTCAACTACAAAGCAGCACTGCTAAAGAGAACTCATCCTTTGTGTTCCCAGCTCCTGCCATCCCCACACCCTCACTGCTGAGCCACAACAGCTGCAGCACTGGGGCTCTGGACACAGCAGGTTCAAGGCACCTGGGCTGAAGAGCCCACACACCAGCTGCCCTCTCCTGCCTGCCCTCCCTCAGGCAGGACAGGCAGCAGCAGCAGCAGCAAACTCCTGCCTCTGACACCACCTCAACCCTCCTCTCCACAGCTCCAGCTGAGCTGCTGGGCTCTGACACACATGGCTCCTGGCTCAGGACACCCCACACGAGCTGGGCAAGCAGAGGCTCAGCACCCAGAGTCCTGGCCACAGGCCATGCCCTCCTGCTGAGCTCCCACAACTGCTCACACTGCTCTGCCAGACCTTTCCTGCCCTCCCACCCAGCCTGGCCCAGGCACCACCTCCAGACAAGGCACTTGTGCAGCACAGTTTGCAGCTTCAGCACAGTGCTCTGTACCCACACCACCACCAGAACCAGCTGGGGCTAAGAAGGCAACAGGCAGACACCACCTTTTGCAGGAGGGACCGAGGGCTCTGCTTCCAAGGTGACACTGTCCACATCTTCACAGAGTTTGTCCCCTGGCTTCTCCTGTTCCACCTCACACAGATACACATCAATGGGTCCTTTCGTGCTCTTCACGTGCACTTCTATGCAATCCTGCAACACAGCAACTTCCAGGTAAGCCCAGAACAAGCCTGACACACCACTTGGCTGCTTCTGCACATCGTGCACAGCCCATGGAGGAGGAACACAACAAACACCCTTCTTGTTCTTGCTCACAACTGTGTCACTAGTTCTACACAAATCATGGCTATTGCAGTTTTGTGGGCCAATGATTAAGCCCCGTTCATCTCACAAGCTTTCCTGTTTGACATGCACACACCTAACCAGTCTTCTAACCTTTCTGCTGGCCTTGAGACAAATGCCCAACATTTACTGTACCTTCAGGAAGGGAGACAACAGCAAAAACTTCACAGAGCCAGGTTCAGAACACAAATCAGATCACAGGGCAGCCTGAGGAACAGGGCAGAGCAGCCAAACCCCAGGGCTTCCACTGCTCTCCAAGGACACCAGAAGGTGATCACTGATTGCTGCTGCACAGTCACACCTGGGAACTTGGGCTGCCCTGGGACACAAACATACAACACTTACTTCTTTGGGAATGGGGATTTCCAGTCTGGTTTCCTCTGGAGCTTTGATTGCAATCACAATCTGTTCTTGGAATGCCTGGATGCTACGGATGTCCTGGTATGTCACATAAGCTAGAGTACAGATTGGTCAAGGAGTCTGTAAAGTCACGTTCCACTGGGCAAAGCAAAGAGGATCATGTCAAGATACACTGGAACACAACAGCAGCTCGACAAGTGGTAATTGCTAGGAACTGGTAAGAGTCCTTTTATACCACTGTCAAATGAACAATTAGCTAACAAGTGGAAAACATGCTCTACTTCTAGGAGGAAAAAAGCTTTAACCTGGGAAGGAAAAGCTGCACCTTTCCCAAGACTCCCAAACACTTGCAGCCAAAGCCACAAGATGAAGAGATGCAAGGGTTAAAAGGATATTTTGCATTCTCTTTGTCATCTGTCAGCTCATATAACTGCTCAGCACATTTCTTGAGTAATTCGTCCAGAGCTCCTTCCATGGCTGACAAGTCAGAAAGTTCCTCCCTCAGGATCCGCTCCTCTGGTATTTTTCCAAGAAGATCAGAACCTCTGCAAGAACAGCAAAGGGGTCTGGTGTGGTTATGGCAGCAAGAGCCTGTTTCCTGAGCACCAAGCAAGCGAGGAGAAAACTACCAGGAGCCCTGCCATCCTTCACCCTGCTGAAACACTTGATGCTGCTTCATGCAGTAAGGAACTCAGGAGCCTCAGCACACAGAGCTTACGCATCATTTGACCTGGGAACAGCAGTACAACGTGCTGAGAAGTACTCTCACAGCTACAACCATTACCCAGCACTCTGGGGTTTTACTGCTTCAGAGCTAGAGCTTCCAAAGCCAACTCACATCCACTGGATAACATTCTTGGAGATCTTCTGAATGAGGTGGATTCCATCCAACACGTTGGTGATGTCATAGACTCTTCGCTTTCGAACTCCAAGTCTTTTGGCCACCTCATTTAAATCAAGGACACCATCTGGGGATGCTCTCACAAGATCCATGAATTTCTGAGTCAAATAAACCAAGGATTGATCAAATCGACTCTTTTTCACTTTCAGAGGCCCTGTCAAGTGTGGAGAGAATCATCAGGGTAAACTTCACAGGAGCATGAAGTGTTCCTTAAAGAAACACTGGTGAAGAAGCAACCAAGAGACAAGTCTAAAGCACTGTTCTTACTAATGCTGACACTGCAGTGGCACCAGACACTGGTTATCACCAACACACACCCTCATTTGCTTGCAATTATTTGCAGCTTAGCAGGACCTTCATGTGGTCCCTGCCCAGGACTTCAGAGTGCTGGCACAGACACTCTCAGGGCTCTAACTGTATGTTCTGTAGGACCTGGGCTGGGGCTGCTGAGTGAGCAACCATGGACCCTGCAGTTCCTGCCAGTGGTGTCAGGGCACAGCCAGGGAACTGAAGCTCAACCATCTGCACCATGACACTGCTCATCTTTCTGCAGAAACAGCAGACAAGTACCTGCTGAGCAGCTTCTTCAGCTCCAGGCTGCTGCTTCTGTGTGCAAGAAGCATTTCTAAGCATGTGCTTCCCAGGCACAAAGGGGACGTGCTGCCCGTGCCCTCCCCTGATGCAGGGCTCAAGGGAACCCTGTCCAACCCCGCAAAGAAACACTCTTTGCTCCTGCAAAGCCAACCAGGCTCTGCACACCTGAGCACACCTGAGCTCTCCCTGGGCCAGGTTCCAGCCTAAAGCTTCGGGAGAGCCTGTGCTGGGGCACAGAGGGGGGTGTGAGGGAACGTCCCCAGCAGACACTGCCACCTCAGGCCTTTCTTTCCCAGCATGCAGGAGACCTGCTCTCCACGCTCAGCACAGCACTCCCTACCAGGCCTGCGTGGCTGGGCACCCTCTGCCATCAACTGACCAGTCCCACAACTCCCCTTTGGACTGGGGGGGTGAGAAGAGCCCCACTGCTCCCTTGGGGACAGAACACACAGCCCAACACTCACTCACTCAGGCCTCTCTTCACAGCTGCCACGAAAACAAAAACCTGCCTTGGCCAGCACCATGCCCAGCTCCCTCTCCTCCCTCTGCCCAACACAACTCTCTTTACACCTGCACCACCTGAAAGAGGAACACCCAGGGACAGCACAGGCCTTCCCAGCTGCTGCTGCTGCTGCTTCATGGAGCCTGCAGCCTTCCCCTCCCTGCCTCTGCTCACACACAGCAGCTCCTCCTCTGCTCACAGCACCTGCTCAGCACTGCAACAAAGCAGCAAACGCTGCAGGAATCATCATCATCATCACACAGGGAACACAGAAACTTACTTCTCACAAACTCCTCCTCATCATCCGCGTTCAGATCGACCAGGGCTGGCTGGGGAGAAAACACACAAACACAGCTGGCTGTCCTGCTTCTGCTGGGACACAGTCACAGCACCAGCTGCCTCTGCAGGGAAGCTGCCCGTTCCCAGAAGCCTGCAGCACCAAGCCCCGGGAGCAGGGCTGGGGACACACCGGGCCCAGCTGCTCCCAGCCCAGGGGTGCAGCTCTGCACAGGGCCCAGGCTGCAGCAGCTCCGGGCCA